ACCCGTAAAAACAAAGTTTTTCACTATAAATCTTTTATATGCGTGGCATCGGTTTTATTTTATTATTCATGTCTGTTTTCTTGAGTAAGAGTTTCATTTTTATCACATTGGTATTTGAAATTAAATATGAAATTTTTTTTCCTAAAAAAGTGTAAAATTTTGGGAAAAAAATTTCACGAAAATAAATTGTCACGCTCAACGAGTCTGTGTGCAAAATGTCAGCTCGATTGGATCACGGGAAGTGGGTTAAAAAACGACCGAAAGATTTGCACGGTCGTAAGCGCGCAAGCAAGCAAGCAAGTGAACTTAATATAAAGGATTTAGAAATACAGGGTTTCCATAAAGGTATCATCCATTATTAAATAATTAGAATTAGGCAGCAGTTGGAGCTGGGTGGATATAACTACAAAGACAAAGATCTCCTGTATAGCTTTAACAGACTGATGGGGCAAGTGCTATTAGCGAGCACCTATGAAGGCCGGCACAGCACACGAGGAGGTAGGTGGCCAGCACCACGCCCGGACGTCTTTGTCTCCCCAGTGGCGATGTTTACACACCGTGCCAGGTACTCATTTGAGGCTGAGTCGACCTAGTGGAGACCCAGGACCCATTCAGATAATTGTCACTGGTGTTGGCCATGAGCGGGAATCAAACTCGTGTCTCTGGGTTCATAGCGCAGCACGCTGACCACTACACTAAACGCTACTAACATCACACATACACACACACTTGGTAATATGAGAATTTGATTGAATGGCTTTCATCTCTAAACTGTCACCTGTCGGCCATGGAGTTGACCGAGCTCGCCAGCATCGTGGGAATAGTTTTTTGGAATGTTACTGCCATGGGCTGTTGAAGGTCACTGACGCTTGTTAGTTTATGTTTTGTATGCAGTACACAGTATCACTCGCATAACCCAAACATTGTATCCACGCAATTCGAACTGCAAATAAAAAAAAAATCACCGGAATGATAGTGCAAAACCTCGAAGGACGTCTTTGACTAAATCGCCCGAATGCGATCGGCCTCATCAAATCTTCGAAGCCCAAGCAGGTTGTGAGCCTGGATATGACTTGGATGCGTGACCCCGTGCCCAAACACGTTGTTGTTGCAGGCTGTGAGGACAATGCAGAAACATGCGTTGCCGTTGCACTATGCCCGTGACCTCTATATGCTCACTGCCTTCACCACCAACGTGCACTGACCCGCTTGGTAAAGTATGGGCGGAAAACCACTGCACGGTGCGACGTGGCCCACATCCAGCAGTGGCTTGTAGACGCACTTTTACGGACCCCCATTTGTCGAGTGTGTTTAGATCCTACTCCCCCCCCACCCCCCAACATCGCTGCGCGGACATCGCCTTCGTCCTCGAATTGAACATCGAGCCGTCCTCCAAACTTGCCTGCGTGACAAAACTGAAGCCGCTGGGACTGCCGGGCAACAGACGGAGGAGGAAAACCGTGTGCGGCACGCCAAAGTGGATCGCAGGTTCGGCGGACAACAAAGAAGAAACCATAGCGAGCGGAGGGCAGAGCGCGCCGCAGACAGGATGTACTCCTTAATTCTAGATTTGAAGCTTTCGTGACTGCAAGGATTCATACTCTTGGTTTTTCGGTAAAGTCACGTAGGTAAAAAATGAAATTAAAATTTATTTTAAAAAATCGGAGGCAACACAAGTCTCCGTCATCAGGTGGGACCGTCACAGCCAGATTTGCTGCATCGAGTGAGGCAGGGATTCAAGATGCAAGCTCTTAAATACAAGTCTTTTAAACCCCCCCCCCCTCCCAATACGTTCCATTCATTGGCTACCACATTCTGATAAGCTCCCCCCCCCCTCTCCTCCCCCTTAACTTGTATTTAAGAGCTTGCATCTTGGAATCCCTGCCTCACTTGATGCAGCAAATCTGGCTGTGACGGTCCCACCTGATGACGGAGACTTGTGTTGCCTCCGAAACGTCGTGATTTTTATTATTTTATGTTTATTAATTTTAATTACATGTTTTACCTACGTGACTTTACCGAAAAAACTAAGAGTAAAGGTGTACTCCCCAGGCACGAGCCACGACAGGGGTGGCTTTAAAACAAAAATATGAACACTTCTGAGAAATTTGCAACAATACCGCGAGAAATGTGTTGTCTCCGGGCCTCCGGAGACCACCTGGAGAAGATTCTGTGTGTCGACAACGATGGCGAACAAGTGGAGACTCTTTGACTTTTTTGTGCGCCTTTTGGCGTCATCTGGTCGAACACCATATGAGACTAGGCTCTAAAGAAAGCTGTCTCTGGTGTGGATCAATCAGTTTCAAAGACAATGCATAAATTATCAGAGTATTGTTTTTTGTTTGCATTTGACTGCAAGTATTGTGTTTAATGTAAGCATAATTCCTTGCAAAAGGTGTCAGTTTTGTTGCCAGAAAAAAGGGGAAAACCCCTATTAGTACTCTTTGACTTGTTGAAGCTATTCACGTTACATTTGTTATCATGTTACAGTGTAGTATTATCCGTTCTTTTCCCATTAAAAATGATAGTCACATGTAAGCGTTAACATTATTTTGAAGCACCCTGTATTTATTCACCGGGCCGCCTTTGATGGGACGAATGTCGCACGTGATTGCAAGGAGCTCTAGGCACCGAGTTCCATCCGTTACGCGCGCAACAAAAAAAAGCCACGTGACGATTGCCTCTGGGTCTCTCCGAATCGCACGGCCTCGGGGCCTTACGCTAACCGAGCGGGGTGACCCAGAGCGATGGCCTTGCATGAGCGAAGTCGGTGGCGAATTTCATGATAATAATAAAAATAACACTGGTCAACACACTTTTTCTGGCATAAGGTATTCCAACGGTTTGAAGGTAATTTGGGGTGCTGATTCCAAATCTGACATCAGTTTTTGTCTCACATGTGGTTTTTGAGATATCGAATATTGCATTTTCAATAAAAACTGCAGAAGAAAAATATTAAATAAATGTGGATATCTACATAAAATGATACTATAAACACACTATCTTAAAAATACAGCACCATGTTTTAACACTAAAGCAGTCACTGACTCGCAACAACTTGCAATCATAAGTGACAGAGTTAATTTCGGGTAAAATCAATGAAAATGGGGTATGCCGATAGCATAAAAATGAGATGTGATAGAGCAAATCTGAGATCAGATTGGGAATCAGCACCCTGAAATTAGTCTAAAACAGCTGCAAAAGTCCAGGCCAGAAAAAAAATGTTTTATTTTGTTGACCAGTGTAATCATTCGCACTCATTAGGCGCCTGTCAACGTCTTCCAAGCGCCGTAAATGAAAAGGAAAACGATTAAATAGAGAACCGCGTGGCACAATAAGAATTTGAGACGAACCAAGCGACTCCTACTGCTACTACTAAGTATCACTCACACATACTACCCTACCAGTACATGTTGAAGTGCAAGAGGGTCACCCAACCAACCCCCGGAGTTAACGATGATAACATTTTGATCATTTTATCACACGCATCTGGCCCAAACATGCATGTTGGCAGGTATTTAACATAAATAAATTAGGTGTAGAAATTAGTGTGCGATATGAAATCAGCGCAACATTAGCATAGTAATTAGCATACGTAATTCCCATGGCTACGGGATTTTCTCAGATGTCTAAGTCTGCAGAATCGAATTGTCAAATTAGCATGCGTAACGACACGTGCGTAACGCACGTAGCCACAGGTGGGTTAGAAGTGTGCGATTCACTAGATAATGCATAACGACTGCTACGGTGACGAGATGTTAACAACCTCGCCTGGTATGCAGGAGGTCGTCGGTTCGATCCCGAACCTGACGCCTGTATATTTAAAGTGTGCGTGTCTCTCTCTCCGTGGTCGCGTGGATTTTTCTCCGGGACCTCCAGGGTTTTTCCCTCCACATTTAGAAACGTGCGTTTAAGAGTATGTGTCCCGCTCTCAATGTCCACGTGATAAGCCACTTCGTTGCGCTATCGTCTGTAGCCGGGTCGCTTCTGAAAAAGAACTGCGTAGCTCAGTGGGTCTTACGTGGTAAAATAAAAAATTGTTTAGTTTACGGTGGAGGTGGGTTCGCGTGTGGTGAGTGTACCATGAGTGCACACCCCTGGTAACGTGTACCCCATGCGAGTGGATGAAGGCAGAAGCGTGGCAGTCAGTGTGCGAGATCCTCAATAGCAAATGAGAAAACGAAACACATTCATCAATAACACTGTGGCCTTAAAACCAAGGCCGTAATTATAATATATTTGGAGGGGGGACACACATCCCCCAATATTCAAATATGCTTGGTTGTACTTTACTAATCCCTAATCTCTGCCATTACAAACAATGAAACAAGAAAAGGTAGAAAAGAAAAAAACAGAGCAATGTAATACAATACACTGCTAGACATTATTGTTTAAAATTAATAAAAAGGCCATCCTATGTGTTAGTGATTTATTAAATATTTTAGGCAGGAAATTAGTTTTCAAAATGATATTTTTTTCTGGGGGGGGGGACCCCAGACACCCTAGAAGATTTGGTTCCCCCCAATGTTGGCTCCATGGCTACGGCCTTGCTTAAAACTAATATATATTTAAAAGGAAAGGTTTCGGGAAATGGCCCTTCTTCATGTATATATGCTGTAACGAAGAGCCATTGCCCGACACGTACCCTATTCCTGTATAATACATTCGGCCGCTTTAAGTCCGCACGAGTGTCATCGATGGGACGTGTTGAGTTTTCGCGTCGCCGTTCGTGCGCTTGTGCGTCGCCGAACAATGGGTTCGGGAATAACGAGCTGGAGGTTGGCACACGAGTGCGTGAAGCCAGCCGTAGACTTGGCGCGCTGCGTAGGCAACGCAACTGCCCCCCACCCCCCCCCCCCGGGCATAACTCGAGGAGCACTACGCGTGCGTCCGAGTGGGTGGCTGAGTGGATGGACGATATCGAGAGCTGCCAGTGCGCGCGGTCCTGCAGCGAGTCGCTCCGAGACCGTCGCTTGCGAGCGTCTGGGAAAGGGGCTCACCTTGACGCGGATCGGAGAGGCCCATGCCGACACGGCGTGCGTGCGTCTGCGACGGCAACGGCTGCCCTCAGCTCCATCCTCCATCGCCAACCTTGGCGCGGCACGCACGGCTGGCAACGGAGCAGCTTTTTGTTGTTGTTGTTTGTTGTTGGTAATATCCTCACGAGAAATGAATGGGAAAAAAAGCGGTTTTCTTTGTCTTTTTGCGCTGTGCCTTTCACCAGGCCACGCAGCTGAGCCGGCTGCTGTCGCAAAAATAAATTATATTATCGAAGTCCCAAGATGTTTGCTACAATTCCAAAGTTGATCCCTTTGTGCACAGCGTCGAGTTGTCAGGCACTCCACCACAGACGTGCGAGAGTGTGCCTGGGTCACCGAAAATTTTAATTCGGAGTCCGTGAAACTGTCCACATGAATATTTAATTGCCGAGAAACGCGACATCTGTAGATGGAGCCGCACTCAAAAATAATAACGTTTCATGATCCGAGGTTGCAGCCGAAACCGCGATAACAGCAGACGTTCAAAAAAATAGACTTCAGCTCTCGATTTCCAGGGTATTAAGGCAACCACAAAGGAAGCTCTCACACATCAGCCGCTTCCCTTTGAAGGTGAGCAATTGCAGTGGAGCAGTCACTCTGCATGATGTCCGTAAGTACTGATCAAGGGATGAGAATTCATCTCAATTGTCTTACCAATTTCAGGTTCAAGCGGTTTGAGTTTGTCGCCTTGTCATAATTCCACTGCCCAATTCCCCGGCTCCCGGCTGAGCATCACACTCCCCCAATGCTGAACGCACAAGCGCAGCAGCCTTGATGCACGGTCTCACGGAGTCACTCGCCCAATGCGTAAATCATTCAATTCACCGCTTTATTATGTCTCTCTCTCTCCCTCCCCCGATTCCCTCTCCCTCTCGCCTCGGCTGTGATTGCAACACCCCCATGGCAAGCGATCAATGCTCAGGCACGTTAGCGCATCAGGCGTGCAAGCCAATCGCAAGCCGGAGGTGTTGTTGCTCGCATACCAGTAGCTGGCACCTGGGTGATCTGTGGCCGGGGCCAGTGAGGGAGGGGAGTAGCGGGGGAGGGGGGAGGGGAGGAGGGAGGGCTCGGGCTGGGATGGCCACTGTGATCCGGACTCCCTGCTGATCAATTCAGCTCATTAACGAGTGCGTAATCCATTTAAAACGAGCCACACGCGAGCGCACACTCGCTCACACACTGGCAACTGGTCATCCGTGCCCTCCGTGTGAAGATGTTCCAGGCGCCAGGGACCTTCCTCTACGTGGGTGTCGAAATAATGAGATACAATCCATTGATTGATGATAGTAGTTCGTTAAACTTACCAGACGCTTAATGAAAACATCAAGGTATGCAATGCGTCAAAGGGAGACCGACATCCACTGAGGAGGTGAAGCGATGAGATGGGCCAGGCATGCGGGATCATGAGAGATGGAAGTGGCTCAGGGATGTCTTCATCTAGCAGTGGATTGACCATGGCTGGTGATGACGATATTTTCTCATTTTTTTCCAAAATTTCCCAGTCATTGCTTCGAAAAAATGTTTTTTTAACACTTCTAAGAATTTGCAACAATACCACATGGACTGTGCCTCCGAGCTCTTGGGGACTAACTGGAGAAGATTCCAGACACGATGGCGAACAAGTGGAGGTTCTTTGACTTTTTGAAGCTACTAACATATATTTGTTATCATCTTACGAGACGCGCTCCCAGCTGGGGAACGTTGTTTCTCCGATTTGTGAATGTATACAGTTCTCAGCCTTACAGCAACCACCATCGTCGACTGATCGCAAAGCTTGCGACAAAACACGGCAGCATGCATGCGCGATATGCATAATGTATACATTTTGCAAATGGGGGGGGGGGGGTGTGGAATCTGAATTATTGATGATAAGAGCACAGAATAAAATTACAATAGATGTCATGTCAACGTTGCAATCCTTGTTATTGTCGACCAAAATATCTTTATTCTGTTGTGCAAAAAATGTAAAAGCCATGGTCAGGTTGGTCTGAATTTGTGATTTAAAAAAATATGTAAAAGAGGGGAAATAAATAAATAACGACATGCTAATGAGCACCCTCGAAGCAGCAGCAGCAGCACACATTTTGCAAAGTCAGACTGCACTCATAATTGCTTGCCCATATCCGTGATAAGTGTCGTCTTACATGAACTATGTTGGGTTATTTTTAGCAGCACAATGAGCAGGTGCGCTTCATCCTATCCCTAAATACGCCCGACTCGTGTGCACAGCGTGTATGTGGAACTTCTTTCGCACCGTACGTAGCCAAACCTGTGTTAATCGGAGGCGCAGTGATACAACTCACCAACGTGTACACAGATATACAAGCAACATATGAACATGCTTGTGGACATCTATACGTAACAATGATCAGCCATGGTCAATCCACTGCTGGATGAAGGCCTCCCCCCAAAGCCGCCGCCGCTGCGATCCAGCGATGTAACAATCCACAAGAGCCACCAGCGGACGAGCTCGGTGGACGTGCCCCGGGACGGATTCCATCCCTTGACTGCCACTCCGCCATTACTCTTGACCATCGGCCTTCACACCAATACCTCCGATTCGCACGGTTGGCTACGCTCGGTGCGAAATAAGTTCAATGCACATTGCATACAACGCATCATCATCAGAACTGATTATTTTGTTTATAGTTTGTTGTCCTTCCCCCGCACCTCCGATTCGCACGGTTGGCTACGCGCGGTGCGAAACAATCTCAGCATACGTACATCATCTACACACGCAAACGTCCAGTCTACAATTCTTTATTCGTAATCCGTTAATATCCCACGACTGGACTAAGGCCCTCCTGTCATGGTCCTCCTCGATCCATGATCTACGGCCAACTCCTTCCACTTCGCTCCGACAAATCTTCTAACTTCTAGATTTGAAGCTTTCGTGACTGCAAGGATTCATATTCTTAGGTTTTTTCTGTAAAGTCACGTCTACTTATATGTCTGTCTATAGTTTTTCTGGTTAGAATGTTTTGTTGCGATTTCATTTTATACCTGATGATGATTGCTTGTGTTGCAATCGAAACGTCGTGATTTTTTATGTTTTATTTTTATTTTATTTTACTTTTATTAATTTGAATTTTAACTTTTTCCTACGTGACTTTACCGAAAAAACCTAAAAATCTTTTAGCCTCATCCCGGCAATTCATTTTCTGTCCACCTTTCATTTTTACTTCGCTTTATTCGATCTCAATTGCACTCGTGATGCCGCCCGTCTCTCTCTTGTGCCGTGTCTACACCCTAGTCCAGTTCAGTTGGTTTTTCATGTTCTAAATGAATTATCTATTCCGAGATTTGATTTCTCAAATCTTCAATTATAATGCATTCAACATTCTCCTCTCCATGGGTCTGTGGCGTTACGTCTACATATTAATGTGCAAATAGCATTAAAAATAGATTTGCCTGCGCGCGTGTGTGTATTACATACGCAAACCCGCACGCACGGTTATGCAAGCTGCACTGAGAAGAGTCGTGCTTGGATGGGTGACCGCTATTGCTCTTTCCTTTCGATATTAGAAAGCCACGTGAGCGATGCACTTTTAAATCCAGATTGAAAACTAATTTCTATAGAACTGCTTTTTGTGTTTGTTTTGTTGTCCTTCCCCGGCGCCACCGCTGAGCGCGGCTGGCTACGTACGGCGCGAAAGAAGTCCAGCACACAAACAAGGTTGTCACAGGGCTGAGTGGTGCAGTGCCGTGCCTCTATGCTTCTTTTTTACGATCAGAAAAAATAAGAAGATGCTCGGTGTAGTCGGAACTTTGCTTCGTTCATCATTTTTTGTTTTTTATGGTTTGCTTTCTGTACCCCACCCCCCTCTCTGCCCCCTCTCTCTCTCTGCCCCCTCTCTTCCTACTCCATGTTGCTCTCTCGCTCTCTCTCCCGCGCGCTCTCTCTTGCTCACTCTCTCGCTCTTTCTCTCTTTTAATCTCTGCCTTCACCAGCGTGACCGAAGTTGCGGGCAAAAAAAAACGAAAATCACAACGTCTTCGGCAGGCACTCGTCCAACAGTCGAGTACCAAGCAGAGCTGTTCTTGCGCACGGACGTTCAGAAGGAACACGCACAATAGAGCCCGCTCCTCAACGAAACTGCCACTGGATAATAGAGCAGAGGGGAGAGTGAATGCCGCTTTAAAGTCACGTAAATGGCTGTTGAACAAAAAATGCCATTTGCCCTCCACGTGCGCGAACGTCAAATTGCACGTGGCGGTGGCGGTGGTGGATTTGGCGGCCCCGTTCCAATCTCACGTCTCATTCCCCTGACGCGGCTGAGAATTCGTGCCGACAGGTCGCCGGGACACCCTCCTCACTTCGCCGCGGCAGTCCTTGGGGCAGCTAATTCCGATGACAATTAGAGCCTCGTTGGCGCGGCTGATTGATCGTCGACTGCCTGGCCACCCCGCGCGGAGCCGTGAGCCGTCCAGAGAGGCTTGAACTCTGTCCGGAACGTGGCCGTCACCAGTCGATAGTTTTTTTTAAAAGGCCGCCACATCTTCTTGGTTCTTTCGGTAAAGTCACGTAGAAGGGAAGTAATAAAATAATACAAATAAAACATAATAAAATTATTCTAACGACGTTTCGGCCACAACGCAAGCAGCCGTCCTCAGGTGAAAACCAGGTCCGTCGAGGCGACAGAGTCTGAATGAAACAGCACACGAGCTTGGAGCATATATATAAGCTGGGCGTCTAGACAAAGGAATGTACATATCAAGAGGAATTTAGCATATTCATGGGAAATGCAGGAATGTGATTAGTACTACATATGCATGTGCATTATGCAGGATTTACCCCTGTTCAACGCGCCCGCCTTCCAGCACGCAGGAAACCCGAGCGCGTGCGTGTGTATGTGTATAGGTGCTACTCGCCAACAACACTTAGCCCGACAGTCTGTGACAGGCTATACGGGGGGTCTTTGTCTGTATGTTGAACTTCTTTCGCGCCGTGCGTAGTCGCAGCGAGCTCATCTAAGGTGCGGGAAAGATCACAGGAGTGAATTTCAATTTTGGAGCTTTCGTGACTGCAGGAATTATTAGATAAAATAATAAATTAAATAATAGCATACTACGACATTTCGATTGCAACACAAGCAATCATCATCTTTTATACCTGACGATGATTGCTTGTGTTGCAATCGAAACGTCGT